TTTAGCGATCACTTGAAGAGGAAGAGGTCAGCCATTATGGTCTCTGAAATTGTCGATCAATACCCCAAACGGCATTATCTCCCAACAACCCGGTTCCGACATCTCCTTTATCTTCATAAGTGTGTTTTAGGGCAGGTCAATTTTGAAAAAAAGGTTTTTCTGGGCCCTGAAGATGTCATATCCCTAGCTGCATATCGTTTTTTACCTCTCAATACTTTAGGAATCCCAAACAATGGTATCATTTTAACCCCCCAAGACCGTAAACCATTTCTTGACATATCAACTAGTTAAATTTTTCTTGTTTCCTCAATTTTGAATATTTCTCACTTTTCAAAACACTCTGCTTCTTTGCTCTGATGAAATCAAATCACATTGTATTTCTCAACAAGCGAACCAAAAGGTTGCCAACATGTATGATTGCAGTCAACTGCAATGAAATGAAATTGATGAGAAAATTGTATAATCTTTTGTTGGTTATGTGAACATATCAGTAATAATTGAGCTTGAGATTTAGGAAGGTAGGGGAGGGAAAAGACAGGATTCGCGTATGTGATAAGATGAATGAAAAAGGAAATATTTGTGTATTTGATGAGGGGAATGAAAAAAAAAAAAACAGGATTCGTGTTTGTGATAAGATGAATGAAAAAGGAAATATTCGTATTTTTGATGAGGGGAATGAAAAAGAAAAAGAAAAAACAGGATTCGTGTATATGGTAAGAATAAGAGAACAAAAACATGTTTATTTGATATGTGAAATGAAAAAAAAGAATACATTTGTGTATGTATGGGGTTTTACGACCATTGAGCCTCTCCATCTAACCCGTACATTTCCTCATCGTAATCATCATCGTGAACAGCACCTATAAGTTCACCATTACTATCCTCCTGGTCGTTGTCTTCATCGTCATCGCCATCTTCTTCTTCGTCATCATCACCATCATCAACTTCTTCATTGTCGGTGAAATTTGCTGGCGGATCATAAAGATCCCCAGCATCACCTTCTTCAAAGAACTCGTCATCGCAAGCATCAGAGCTTTCACCAGTCTTGTCGATTCCTTCCCCTTCTTCACCCTCCTCCTTGCCATCGTCCTCGTCACCAGATGAAACCTCTTCTTCATCTCCATTAGGAGGTGCATAAGCAGCGGAGTGGATGTCGAGATAGATTCGGTTAAAGGTGGTATCCTTTAACTTTTCGTCCGGATGAGTTTGACCTGTTGGCAAGAGTGACTCATTTGCATTGGGTAGCAGAGCGACTTTGCGACGGTTTGGAATTGTGTTTTGTTGAGCTGGAGATAGATTCTTGAACCAGTCAGGATCATAAAAGTCAAGAGCGAGTCCTTTTGGTGCGATCTTGAAATCCGAAATGATAGGCTCTTTAGGTAATCGACGAATTCGGCGCTTGTGGTTTGGCTCTTGGATGGCTGCGTCCATCATCCGGTTGTCTAATCGGCGCATAAACTTCCCCACATTTGCCGAGCGATAAGGAAGAGTCTTTATCTTCCAAAATTTGCCC